CTAGAGGAAAGAACTCCCATTTCGATCCCCGCTACTACGAGAATCGCGTTTGTTTTCTTTTCTCTGGCTACTAAGATGTTTCAGTTCCCTAGATTGTCTCTTGCCTGACTCATGGATTCAGCAGGTAGTTTAAAAGATCTTCCTCATGTTGACTGAAGGGCACGAGACTTGGTCTGTTGAGAAGAAAGAGCTTAAGACTTAAGAGCTTAGGATCTGGTTTTTTTAGTTCATCTTAGGATCTTTTTCTTAGGCAAAAGAGGTTGGGATCTGTGAAGCAACACTAAACACAAGGCCCACTCAGAAGCCCATAGCCCACGAACCACCTCGCCGCCACACTCGTCCACCGCGGCCCGGCCGAACCGCGAAGTCTCACCGCATCGACGACCGTTACGCGCTCCCGTCCGCGCAACCGGCGGCACGCCGCGCACGGATCATCAGTTCATCACTGACTCATCGCCGTTGCTCCAGTCCAGTAGTACAGACTTCAGAGTGCCCTGTGCCCCCGCCGATATCGATCCATCCACTCACCGTCAAAATGCCGATCTCGCTCCGCCTCACCGTCCCGCCGCCGGCGCAGGCGCCCACACGCCGCCGGGCCCTGGACCCGAGAGCCGGCGGAAATGCCGTCGCCGTCTCCCCGGTCGTATTACAGCCGGCGCGCCCGCTCAGGTCCGCCGTCCTACCGAGTATCTGTATGTACTCCCTCCGTCCGAAAATACTCGTCGGAGAAATGGATGTATTTAGACATATTTTAATTTTAGATACATCTATTTTTATCAATTTCTTCGACAAGTATTTTGGGACGGAGGGAGTATATACCACACGGTGACACGGGTTTCGTCGTGGCGTGCGGCTCGCGAACAAATTAAGAAAAAGCCGCATAGCTCGCATCGCCCCGGGGTGGTGTCTTGCTGGATCACAAGAGCCCTGGTCTTACGGTTTGATGAGTTTTCTGGCGATCTGCAGGGGAGCTGCGCCCGGGCCATCGAGCGTGTGGTGGCGCCGCCGGGGAGACGCCGCCGTGTGCTGCGCGACGGCGCACGTCACCGCCGAGACGATGCGATGGGTGTCCGTTGGGGCCGCCGCGTGAGTAATCATCAAATAAAATCAATCGTTCGTAGCCTTTCTTTCTTGTTTCTATATGTGCTATATTTTGCATACCTAAGTACTCTCTCCGTCCCAAAATTCTTGTCTTAGATTTGTATAGATATGGATGTATCTAATACTAAAATGTGATTTGATACATCCGTATTTAGACAAATCTAAGACAAGAATTTTAGGACGGAGGAAGTATTTAACCAGTAGTGATTATACTACCATAACGTGCTGAATAAGGTAGTAAATCTGTTTGCTAGTGCTATCAGAGTTATAGTCTAGTGATCTAAACGCTCTTATATTTCTTTACAGAGGAAGTAACTTATAAGAGCTGTTCATGTTAGGTTACGGGTTGGGATTATGCATTTAGATCATAACAAGGGTGAGTGAACAATGAAAAACAGTGGTAAGGATGCAATTCAAATGAAAATAGAGCGAGTTTTTGTTTCAATTGTAAGCATGCTTCAATTAGTTCTGACTGCAAAACTGTAATCTGTACAGCTCTATAAGTCTAAGACTAGGTGTGTTATTTTTGTCATATGCAGTATGTTGATGTTTGCTAAAGGCACAACCATACACAAATCTCTCCTTGTCCCTCTCGTTGCTCTACAAGCACCTAAAGACGTCATCTCATGGACAAAGTAAGATGCCAACATTTGGCATAAGATAATAAGAACCATTTCACTTACACATACATCATATCGTACCTTGTATAACATTGACCTTGTTTGTCAGAGGTGACTATGGTCAGTGGACCGCTTTTCTTGGGCTTCTTCTGCGTCTGCTATCCTTGCTTCCAGGTAGAGCAACAAAATTACTGGTGCTCCTCAACATTCAAAAAAAAAATTTACTGGTGCTCCTGCCCTTTCGGGTCAAAAACAAAATTACTGGTGCTTATATTATTTGACATTTCCTTTCCCCTGCTACGGTGAAATTCTCATGAGGAACATTGTGATATGATGCTCTCTTGATGATACTACCATTGGCTTTCATCAGCTTCACTTAGACGAAATTCAGATACTGTACTTGACTTCGCTGTACTACCTGCATCTGTACTATTGCAGGTGAACTGGAGCTTCCCTTGTCAACGATGCTGTTTGTTAGCATTGCTCCTTACCAATTCATGAACTTGAGGTACAAATAACTGCGATTGTACCTACTTCCAAAGTATTTCTTGTATGATGGTCATTCTGCTTTCATGAGTTCATGACTTGTTTAGAAAGAAATTCAGAGTCCTGATGCAAGGATTTACGGCTACCATTTTTCTGTGCATACCATATGCCAGTTGAGCTGCTTCTCGCCAAAGAACGCATGGTTTCTCACATAGCTTGTTTAATCTCTGGACAGGGGCACTCAAGACTCTGTAATACTGTCATTGGCAATAGCAGCTTATCTCGCGTTTCAGCATTTCACCGGGGCCGGAGGCGTGAGGAAGGCCTTCGACCGTGGAGCGGTAGTTGCAACCTTGTGCATCATCTGCATCACGCTTATCCCCCTCCTGTTCTTGCTCTGATTCCGGTGAGGCGTATGATAAAGCCTTGCTCCTCTCAACTTTTGGAGGCGTGGAGATGAATTGCAGGATGCTGAGAAGCTGCAGAAAACAAAGGAAGTTCTTTTTTTTTGTGGGGAACAAAGGAAGTTCTTGTGTTGCATGATCCAAGTCCTACATAACCTGCAGCCTTTTCCTTATTGAAAGCAACTTATGATTCATCTACTGCTTTAAGCTTTTAAGCATTTCATGTAGTAGTATGTATGGCATGATGATGTGAATGTGATATATGGTCAGTCAAAGTTTTCTCTCTATCATACCAATATCGGATGTACTAGATGGGTTGTCAGTCAAAGTTTTCTTGGCATGATTCAGTAGCTCTTCATTTATGCATGTTGAGCAAAAGGAAAAAAAAAGTTTCACGTACAGCTAACAGATGCCATCTTCCAAATTTCGAAACTCATAGCAGCAGCGTGTGCGCAACGCGATCTTTTCAGATATTTGGAAGGGAACATGATACCAAGACTGCACAGACTGCAATAATAAAAGGTCGCAATGCTTCAGAATCTGATGTTATTTTTTAATTTTATTTTTGAGAACAAATCTGCTGTTCTTCTAGTAGTGATCCCAAGAGATTCTTTTTATATTTATTTTTGAAATGATCCCAAGAGATGTTTGAGGGAAAGGAAAAGGGAACTTACAAAAAAAACAGCAACATCATGATTTCTTACGCTTCGCGGATGATAATTTGCTTTATAGGTAAACCCAACATCTGAAATCGCTGTAAATTCTAAAACCCAGCACAATTCATAACGAAGTTACAGAAAAACTCCAACAGGTACTACGATGTAAATCAAAATCCATTTGTATCTTGCAGAATTTCTACGAAGCTTGAAAAGAGCAACGCTAGCAGATTCATGTGTATTTGTTTCGTGCAAAACTCGAAAAACCATGACATTATTTGTAGTAAGATCCTATATTCGTTACTAGCTAGTAGAATTAGAATTCACCCCCGTCGGACGATCGATGGAAAGGCCAAAAGAGAAATAGCTTTCCCGCAACGCGAGTGGTACGTATATAATAAAACAGGGGATTGATTCGCGCTGTCGTCTTTGTTCGGGGGCCGGACCAGATGAGATGAGATGGGCAGAATGGCAGATCCGCACGCAGCGTATATCGAACTGCCACCACCTCCCTTGTCCGCGCCCGCGGCTCTCCACTCTCCTTCCCCTGCACCCTGGTGTAGTGTTGGTGGCATCTCAGCTCCGATCGTCTGCGACTCCCCCGCTCCACGCCGTCTCCCTGTCCGGTACTAGATCCCATGGCCATGGCTCCCTTCCTTCCTCCGCGTGCCTTGTTCATTCTCCCCGCAGTGGTGCTATAGAGGTGCCGATTCTCTCGTTCCCGCCCGGATAGGTGCGTGATTAAGGCCGGCATACTGCGCAGGTGGTAGAGCAATAGCAGTTTATGATTCAATGATCCCGTGAACCTTGGAGCTTTTCTTTGTTGTTGTTGAAATAATAACTAGTCGAGTTCTTGCATTGCATGAGACTTTGCCCTTTTCTAACTAATCTGTTCATAATCTGATCAAAACCTACACAACTAATTTACACCTTCATAACATTTTTCCATCAAAATAGAACTTCTCCAATATAATTATTATTATACTACGTTATAATAATATAGCTTGTCCCAGAAAAATAAGCGGTGTACAAAAAAGTTGATCAAGATCAGCTTACAACTCTTTCTTGCATTTCATGTGTAATGCTTATTGAGATGCATATGCCTCTTCTTTCCTAATCTGGTTCAGTTGTTAGTGGCTCTGGTTCAGCTGTATGGACCTTCTCTCCTAAATTTATTTTATTGTTCTTTAACGTCATAAATAACCTCTCTGTTTTTTAGGAAAATAAATAACCTCTCTGTTTACCTGTGTGCTAACTGATTTTGTGTCTAAATCAAATTTATGGCACTCTTCTCTGCTGTGTGCATTTCAAATTCCCACCAACATAGCACAAGAAATATTCATGGTGACGTATGAAGGCATACCTGTGCTACTTATTCAAATGTTTATTTCTCCGTGTCTCTGATTAAGTGGATAACAACCTTGCTGTTGACAAACCATAGGCCAACATTTGGTTTTCAGTCAGAAAAAGTACTGAGCCAGGTAGGCATGCCGCCCTCCCATATAACATAAGAAATCAGTTTTAATCCCCCTTTTCATTTACATTGATATTGACATGGCATAAAGGAAATGAAGCATCTGATCTGTATTCTGGTTCTTGTTCTGAGAAAACACAAACAACTTCATTGAAAATCTGAAATGTTTTGTCCCTTTTGTTCATATGTTATCTACTGTACCATGAATGCGGATTATAATTCACGAAATTTAACTCCTCTCTGGCAGCTTAATTTCACTATGTCTGGAATGTCATCTGATGATGCAAGTGCTGAAGTGAGGCTTGAAGGAGAAGTTTCTGGTGAAAAGGTACAAGAAACTCAAGATCAGAATGAAGGCAGTGGCATGCCCTCGCCACAAGAGGAGGTACTGTCTTTTCCCGGTACCATTTTTTGGGGGGTGATCTTGGCCTCTTGGGTGTATATTATTCATGTTATCTTCGTTCCAAGCTTGTATGGGTACTCACAGGAGGCAGCAATCAAGAAAAAATATGGAGGAAAAATACCCAAAAAGTCACCACTTATATCGAAGGTCAATGCCGTTGTCTTATAATGTCTTCATTTCCCTTTCAAATCAAATTATGCAACCTTTATATAAAGTAGCATAGGTGTAGAATTAATTTTATTTTAAATTAAACGGTATAACCATAATTTGAAATATCAGGACCATGAGCGGGCATTCTTTGATTCTGCTGATTGGGCTTTAGGAAAGGTAAGCCTTAAATCTTTTGAAAAGCTAATCTAGTGTGATATCTACATCTCAAAAAACCTAAAAAGGAAATGCATTTATAACAGTTTTACTTCTTGGTTTGTTTGCTGCAGCAAGGTGGAAATCCCAACAAGCCCAAAGGGCCCCTTGAAGCTCTTCGACCAAAACTCCAGGTATCAATACTAATGCTCATCAGATGCAAACTTCAGCTTATGTTTTCAGTATTCTGTTTTTACTCTTTAGTATGAGATGTATAGTTGAATTATCTATGCTCCTTATACTCTAAAATAAGTGGATGTTCTGATCACGCAGTTTTAGCTTAGCTCTACAAAGTATGCTGTCCCATTCCCATTGCTTGAAGCTTGACAACAAGTCTTTCATTACTAAAGATCAATGTTGAAGTCAACTTGCAATACTATGCTGTGCCAAGTTCATCTCTTCACTTGTGTTTCCTGATCTACTTTCAGCCTACTCAACAAAATGCTCGTGCCCGCCGATCTTCCTATGCATCTGCAGACAATGATGGTACTCCTTATCTGCACATCCTAAGCAGACAACTCCTTGTATTTGATGGTCAATGCAGTCCCAGTCTCACACAACATTGTCTTTTATTTTTCCTGTAGAGAGTTTGAGTTTGCCTGCCGAGGAGCTGATCCAGAATGATGATCCAACTGAAGACAAGAACAAGGAATAAGTATAATATGCATCGTGCTTTTTATAGGGAAAAATCGCGGTTCTGCTGTCATGATGCCAAAACTGTGCCTTGTTAAATAACTAGCACCGGTACTTATAGTATGCCTGAGGTTGAGCTCTGCAGTTTTAGCTGCGGTATATCTGGCTTCTTCCACATTCAGCTATGCTTGAACCAGCTAGGAATGAACATTTCATGATGGTGGTGTTGTAGTGCCGGATGTGTAAGAAGAAATAATAACAATGAAACTTCATATCTTAACAACACTTTCAAGCAACTGTGACGTGTGCTGATTTATACCTAATGGAGCAGTATATATAACATCATGTCTAAACTGTGCAGCCCCAAGATAAAAAATAATGTAGAAACCAATTCCCACAACATGGTAATTGAAAGCCTTCACAAACCGGTGCTCTTTAGCTTTTCACACACAACCTGGTTTGGAGGTGTTGAGACCGAAAAGAATATAAATATAGGCCCGATGATAATGGACAGTACATTAGTGAACAGAGAATAAGCCTCAGTCATGCTGACCATGTCCAAACTTGTGGAGAGGTGTTGTGTTACCAATCTCACCGGGACATTGGCAATTGCACAAAAGACTTAATTGGTTAAGCAACTAAGGGAGAAACATGTTAGCCTGGCTAGAGTTTACAGCATTATCAGGAATTTCTTTGGGATCCTAGAGAATGTGCACCAAACGATCGCTTAAGACAGTATGCAGCAAACCTAAGCCGTGAACAATCAGAGTTCACATATATTGTGCAAGTTGGTGAGGAAAGCCTAAGAAACTATGCTACGAAGACAACGGACATCTCTGATGGCATGAGGGCTGCTGATCCAGTTTTACATACAGCGTGAAAGTTGATGCTGAATGCAAAATAAAGACGCTCATCTGGACTACGGTGCGGCCAGGTTGATGTCAACTTGTAAAGGACTGCGGGGTAGGCTCTTGTTAGTTGAGCATCCAGGTATACTTGCTTGAAGGTCTGTCTCAACTAGAGGCTGGTTCACCCGTATCTTCTTGTGATGTCCTACCCAAAAAAAGAGGTGTCATGACTTGTGACCAAGAGATAAGATAATTTGTATCCTATGTCATGTCTTAATAATGAAAATGGACCATTGTCTGAAATCTGCTGTGTACACGCTCTACCTGCTCCAGTGGGCTCAGGTGCATCCCGTTTGTGAGAGAGTGAATTCTGCTCGGTTGAACTCTCTGGTACACCCAACGAGAAAAACAAATCAGTACCCTATCGTAATTTGGGGGGTGGGGGTGGTAAACTAACAGGGAACCATAAGAACAGTGGTGATGTATTAAAAGTTTAAAACCCTATGACTACATTGTGCCCCACTAAAATCAGGATTGACGTGTTGTAGGTGTGCCAAGCGTGTTTCCTTGGAAGCAAAAATGTTTGCTTGTTAGTTATGCAAGAAGGGGTGGAAACCCTGAAACAAAAAAGCTCTAGTGCTTCTCACCATGAATTGTGTGCGACGACCTCAGTAAACAATCAGTTCGTCCCACCGCTCTGCAGCAACAGCGGTTCTCAGATATATAGCCAAGAAGTTTGTCCGCTAAGGTAGACATCGCCACTTCGCAACTTCGCCTAATTTCAGATATATTTTCCATCATGTGTGCATTATGTTCTTCCAAAATGGTCATAAGCGGGTGGTTTGCCTGCCTTTGCACTATTAGTTACATATAAACAGAAGGAGTGCAATTCGATGTAACATGAAGAAATCACAACTAATAATAAGAAATTAATGACTCACAAGTGACGGGTATTTCAATCGGAGATGGTTGGAGAAATCTCCTTGTCCAGTTTCAGTGAAGCTGCTTCGTAGCATGGGAGTAACTGGGTTGTGTTGGTGCTTTGTGCCAACAAAACCTGGGGCATGATGGGGCAGGTCAGAAGCTACATCTGCTCGGTGAGTGTGGCTTTCGTAGTGGACTCTGGAGTAGCAAACATCTTGAGCGCGCCTAAACTGGCATGTAAAACAGGACGGGATAAAAAAATGTGAACGTGTACATGACCACTGAATGTGTTCAGCTACTGAACCAAACACTATTCAGTCATTTTGTGGAAGCACATACTGTCTGTATGCAAAATTAAATGGGAGAGGTCTCACACTAGCTCCAGCGAATGATGTATCTCCATCCACGTTGCTAGTGATCACTTCTATCATCTTCTTAACCGACTCGTAGTCAAAAAGACTAATCCTTGGTAGATGGTCTTTTGTCTTGGAAAGTGGACCAAGATCAAGATTGTCCAAGTAGAATACCTGCACGACATTTGCACATTCAAATATTATGGTCTGAGCTGAACAGAATTATGATACACAAAAATAATAGGAAGAAACAAGGACCTGAAGAAACAGATGGCAGCCAACAAGATGTACAGTGATGTTCCGGTTGCGGATATCAGTTTTCAACTTCCCAACAGCTCTGTTCAAATGCTCGAGTACATAAGCACACCAATTAAATTCTTTAATTTGCGAGATATCGTTGAGGGCGGCCCAGAAATCTATGGTGATGTAGTCATGCTTAGTGGATGGAGCCAACAGGTGGCCAACAACAAAAATAACAAAGGCTATCTTGAAGCAATCTATCTGGACCTTGCTGGAATCTGCATTGATGTCATCTCTCAGGAGATAAGCCTCCGCGGCCTTTAGACTGTGCGCGCCTTTGCTCAAATAGGCAGAAGCTCGCATGAACTCTTTGCAGGCTGCAGACGGCTCGGTCGTATCGGGGCATATCGATCTGGTGCCGCATGGCAGACTGAATACCTTCTGGACATCATGGTCCTGGATCTGCAGAACCCTTTGCTCGTCTATTTTCAGTGTGCTGGACTCGACCTCGACTCTTTCCATTAGCCACGCGCTGAATTTCAAATTCAACTTTGCCAGCATCTTGATCCCCAGCATCCCACCAAAGCCTATCTCCTCGACCAAATCCCTCTTGAACTTGTTAAACTTGCCGACGAGCGAGCACACCTTCTGCACCGAAATCCTTGACGTGACAGAAGGTGCGGATCCAGGAGCGCATATTGCTTCGCCTGGATCAGCATCTGCTATGTCGGCGGCTCCGTGATCCCTGCCGCTATTCTCTGTGGCTGTGGCGGCGTCTCGCTGATCTTGTTCCAATGTGGCATGCGGTGCCGCCTGGTCCAGTGGTGCCACCATGGGATGAACTAACTAACAGACGGACAGCACACAAGTAAATTTTGCTGACTCCTCTAGAACAAGGCGCTGCAATAAAATGATTTACCAGTGGGCGTGTGATCGATCCATTGGTTTCAAGTTTAAACTAGCTGATAACGGGGATCGAAAGGAGGAACTCTGAACAAATGGACAAAGAGCATTTCTCATACCCGGCAGTAAGAACCTACTTAGATTCGTATAAGACCGTGAGTACCTGAAGAGGGCCGGGGCCGTAACTGGCCTAGGCGGCAGATCCGCCGGCGTCTCCAAATCACCACCTTGAGCCGGCGACCACCCCTCACTAAGTTCTCCGTAGCTCAATTGCCATGGATTGCGAGAAGATGAGAGGGGTTTGCGAGCAGGGGTGTGTCGTGTGATGGAGGGTGGGTGGACAGATGGGGGTTGGAGAACCACCGTAATAATTGTTTTTTTTAGGGACACCGTAATGATTGTTGGATGATACGGGGGTTAAGAGTAACTCTAGCAGAGCCCACATTTCGCCGAACTGTAAACTGCGTTTGCAGTTCGCATGATGGCGCTTATGCAGGCTTAAAATCGCGGCGACAGAGCAGAAGTTGTATCCAAACCCGTAAAATTTTAAAACTTGTTTCGCGCGGAAAATTTAAGCAAAAGCTCGCCGGAGCTCGCTCGCATAGATAGTTTTCTTCGCATAGTTAGTTCTTCTTCACATAAGTTCGCCGGAGCTAGAACGGGCCTACGCTACCGTATCACTACACAAAATTGAGCTCACAGGAGCTCGTGCGGTAGCTGCCCAGAGGCGGCGCTCAGTCGGAGTCGGAGTCGGAGGAGTCGAGGTCGATGTAGAGCTTCGCCTGCTCCGCCTTCATCACTCGCAGGTCAGCCTCCTTGGATGTGTGCGCTTGTGACGCGGCGACGTCCGTCTGGAGGAAGAGTCGCTCGTACTCAAGCTCGCGCCGGACGCGCTCTTCCATCTCCTCCCGCTCCCTCGCCGACCGCTCGAGGACGACGCGCTCGAGGAACTCCTCCCGCCCCGGGGGGAGGTAGTCCTCGGGCCCGTTGACGCCTCGGCGCGGCGGCGCATCGGGCACGGCGCGAGGCGAGATCTCTTCATCCGGCTCGCTCTTCACCGGAATGAGCCGCGAGCTCGATGCACCCGATGAGCTCCCCGCGGACCAGTTGCCGGAGGAGGCACGGCGGTGGCGGGCGAGCTCGTGATCGAAGTCCTCAAGCTCGCCGCGGTCGAACGCCGGTGGCGGCCGGGTACCGCGCTTGAGCCATCGACGCGCCCCCCGCTTGCGCGCGGTGTCAGATCTGGCGCGTTAGCGGTGCTCCGCCTCATCCACAAAGCCATCCATGGCTTTCGCAAGCTTGCGCGCGGCGGCCAGCGGTGAGAAATCGAGTGGCACGGTGTGGAATGGGGTGGGGAATGGGGGGAAACACGGTTGGGGGTAGGGTTTCGACACGCATCTGCCCCGCAAACCCACAGATATACTGCTTCGGGGGTAACATTTGGGGGCTGCGGCAAAAACATTTGCGGGCCGGACGAGTATACGGGCTCTGTTCTGGCCAAAAAATTGGGCCGAGACCATATACTCACTGGAACTATGCGGGTTTGCACATTATGCGCGGTATGCTAGAGTTGCTCTAAGGGCATTCCAAACACTAACCTGCAAAACGAACACCGCATTCGTCCGCGGATAAGGGACCAATCTGCAGACACAGATAAGAGAGCCGGTCATCCAACGCTATTTGCTTAACGTTGAATTATTACGGTTAAGACTACTCATATTGAAGAGTATCATATAGGAAGCGGATGAGGAGCACATGGAGGCTTCGCTCCCTGTAACCCACACGTACTCATTTTGGTCCTTTTTACTCTGCATATAAAAATTGTCTAAAGTCAAACTTCATAAAGTTTGATCATATTTATATGAAAAAATATCAACATCTACCATACTAAAGTTATACAATATGAAAATTTAAGTCATGACACATCTACTGATGTTGATTTTATATTGTGAATGTTGGTATTTTTTCTATAAAGTTGGTCAAACTTTACGAGGCTTGACTTTAGCCAAGTCTATATGCGAACTAAAAAGGACCGGAGGGAGTACATTACTGTCTCGAGATGGGTGCAATTAATGTAGTTTAAGTTTACTTCTCTTCAATACAATAAGTATACTATGAAGGAACAATGAATCACATTTATCCCAACCCCCCAACTGAGTATTGTCTCAAACTAGCAAGCTCAAGCTGAGATGGGGTGAAGTACGCTTGTGGCCATCAATCGGACTGTGTTGAGGGGATATCGACCAGATACAAGCTCGGGACAAGGGCGCCAGCCACGAGCGAAGCTCACATTCTTGACCAGGAGCAGAACGTACAGAACACGGAGGTCGAGCATGAGCACGTCCTTGTCGAGCTTGGAGATGACCCGAACGTGGACAACATACACGCCAGCTGGGGAAGCGACCAGTTCTTATCACGATTGGATGTAATACCACTGGGTGCGGAAGGCAGGCCATGGTGCCGGGAGCCAGGGCAGATGCGGTGTCCTATGTCAAGCTTGGATGATGGCTGCATCAATTTTCTCGTCGTCAACGAGGGTGGATGTCGTGTCATTGGTCGTGTTCACAGGGGATGCGGCAAGCTCAAACGGCTACCTCGTTCCTCCTCAATGTTGTTCCCCGTCGGCAACATAGTCTTCTTCATTCCTTCTGGGTTTTTCCCACGTCCACGCTACTGAGGAGAAGACTATGAATGCAAAGAAGAAACATGAAAGTAGATAGATGAAGAAGAACATGAGTAGTGTCAATTCATGGTGGGGAAGAATGGGTGTCCATGGAAGATGGTTTTGTGTGAAGAGAGGGAACTGGAGAAGTGCTACCTCTTGAGCACTGCGTTGGTTTTCCCTTGAAGAGGAAAGAGTGATGCAACAAAGTAGCGTAAGTATTTCCCTCAGTTTTTGAGAACCAAGGTATCAATCCAGTAGGAGACTACACGCAAGTCACCTCGCACCTACACAAACAAATAAGAACCTTGCAACCAACGCGATAAAAGGGGTTGTCAATCCCTTCACGGTCACTTACGAGAGTGAGATCTGATAGTGATAATAAGATAAATATTTTTGGTATTTTTATGATATAGATTGAAAATAATAAAGATTGCAAAGTAAAATAGATTGGAAACTTATATGATGGAAGATAGACCCCGGGACCATAGGTTTCACTAGTGGCTTATCTTAAGAAAGCATAAGTATTATGGTGGGTAAACAAATTACTGTCGAGCAATTGATAGAAAAGTGCATAATTATGATAATATCTAGGCATGATCATGTATATAGGCATCACGTCCGCGACAAGTAGACCGAAACAATTCTGCATCTACTACTATTACTCCACACATCGACCATTATCCAGCATGCATCTAGAGTATTAAGTTCATAAGAACAGAGTAACGCATTAGGCAAGATGACATGTTGTAGAGGGGTAAACTCAAGCAATATGATATAAACCCCATCTTTTTATCCTCAATGGCAACAATACAATACGTGCCTTGCTGCCTTGCTGTCACTGGGAAAGGACACCGCAAGATTGAACCCAAAGCTAAGCACTTCTTTCATCGCAAGAAAGATCAATCTAGTAGGTCAAACCAAACTGATAATTCGAAGAGACTTGCAAAGATAAACCAATCATACATAAAAGAATTCAGAGAAAAATCAAATATTGTTCATAGTTAAACTTGATCATAAACCCACAATTCATCGGATCTTGACAAACACACCGCAAAAAGAATTACATCGAATAGATCTCCAAGAAGATCGAGGAGAACTTTGTATTGAGATTCAAAGAGAGAGAAGAAGCCATCTAGCTAATAATATGGACCCGAAGGTCTGTGGTAAACTACTCACACATCATCGGAGAGGCTATGGTGTTGATGTAGAAGCCCTCCATGATCGACTCCCCCTCCGGCGGAGCTCCGGAAAAGGCCCCAAGATGGGATCTCTTGGGTACAGAAGGTTGTGGCGGTGGAAATAGGGTTTCGTGGTGCTCCTAGATGTTTTGGGGGTATATGGATATATATATAGGAGGATGAAGTAGGTCGGTGGAGCTGCAAGGGGCCCACGAGGGTGGGGGCACGCCCAGGGGGGCAGGCGCGCCTCCCTGCCTCGTGGCCTCCTCGCTCCTTTCTTGACGTCTACTCCAAGTCCTCTGGATCACGTTTGTTCCAAAAATAACTCTCCCGAAGGTTTCTTTCCGTTTGGATTCCGGTTGATATTCATTTTCTGCGAAACACTGAAATAGGCAAAAAAACAGCAATTTGCACTGGGCCTTGGGTTAGTAGGTTAGTCCCCAAAATAATATAAACGTGTATAATAAAGCCCATTAAACATCCAAAACATATAATATAATAGCATGGAACAATAAAAAATTATAGATACGTTGGAGACATATCAAGAAGAAGGTGCGAATGTTGTGGCCTGTAGAAGAGGATTCGGGAAGAGGATTGATGAGGAAGGAGTAAGAAATTTTGGTGGGGGAAGAGAACAGAAAAACACATGCATTCACTACATTGTTGGGTCTTGAGTGGTTGGACACTGGTTGTTGTGGTCGAACGGGTGTGAGATATACTAGAAAAGTAGTGTAGCAAATACAGTGGGGCTAATATAGGAGGTGATGATCCCCAGACAACTGGATGGGTGGGATTCCAGTGGGCTACGACGCCGAGTGCTCCTATGCACTTCCGGTATCATATACTAGTATCATGCATATGATACTAGTGTATGATACTATCGTCATAGTGCATAGTATCATAGAGTAGCATCATAGATAATCTTATTTATTGTCATGTATTACACATAGTAGCATAACATTTATTATGACATAGTATCTACATATGTTACTCTAATTCCCTTTCTCTCTTCTTTAATTGTATGCTGATAACCCACAAGTATAGGGGGTCGTTTGTAGCCTTTTCGATAAATAAGAGTGTCGAACCCA